ATATCTAGAATTTCCTTTGTTAAAGTTCAATTATTTTCAATACTCCAGTTACTTATTTCCTAAAGTATTTTCGTGCCAAATTTCGTGAAATTTTAATGAATGGTTCTCGAGAAATAGGCGTATTTCCGAGAGTGCAATTTTTCATTCAATCGCAATTTTGTGACTTACTACGCATGCGCTACATTTAACTGGGTTCTTTCGGTAACAAAGAAAAAGCTGAGAATTGCTGGGTTCTTTGCATCGTTACCTTATCTAACATATCTTTGTAATAAAATACTAAGACCATCAATACACTCCGTTCAGTTATAGAGAAAAATAGCATAGATAGTGCGGGTGTTGAGTAAATAAAATGATCGCTCTATTGACGGCATGTTTGTTTTTTACAATCCTTGTACGCGCGCTGAATTGCATCAGCAAAAACACGCGCGAAAACTGTGTTCGGCCACCTTAATGTCATGTGGGTGAAGGAGTTTCTCTATGTTACTGCTTACTTAGTGATGTAATGTAGCTAGTTCGTCGGAGTGGGTGTTAAATTAGTCGGCTTGGGATCCTTTGTACAGTATTATGTTCTGTTTTCCAATCGAAAAGGATGTGATGTGTCAAGTGTATGACTGTATATTTCAAAAATAAGAATGAAGAAGTTATAACTAACCTAACACTGAAATTCGTTTTTACGAACATTTCTTGATGCTGTGCCAAGATCTGTAAAGCAACCAGAAATTTGTAAGTAAATGTGGTATTGTCTTGTTGTAGAGTGTCAATAAGTTAGCCCCCAAAATCAACACAGATTGTCAGTGGTGACATCTGTTACATGCATAACGTTAGTTCTGAAAATTTGGTATTACAACAAGACAACAATATTTATGTTCCCTGCCCACATTAAGGGAATTTAATCACCATTAATTTATGCCTGTGTATGAATAATGAATTAAGTAAATTACTTTTGCTTTGTCTAACTTTGCTTTGACTACTGAATTTTCTAATAAAACTGAAAGACCACCAGAACAGTTTTATGACTTTTTAAGTTGCTTCCTCTTTATCTTTATTAAGGCATCACATCAACAACCACCTTTAAAAGATCCAAACCTGTAAAAGATCCATTACAAAATAAAATCTAAACCTATCTAAAGTAAGAAGGTTAGGAAGATTGGTGCTAAAATGCATATAATTCTTAACTGAAGGTATGCTACTTTGAGACTGAAAATTTGTGGCATCTGAAATTTCATTTTACGTAATTCGTGATACATTTTTGTCAGAGATAACAGTCTTTACAAGAACTGTAGTCATACTAAACTACAGTCTGGGCTAATATGAAGTCACAGTAGGTTCACAGACTGTTATTTAAAAACCAGTTCCAATATCAAATAACTTAAGGTAATAAATTCACTTTCTTACCATGGCATGACCTATTCTACCAAGTGCAATGCAATCACACCAAAATGCAAGCCACTGAATTTGAATGTGATTATCACATATTAACTTGGAACATTTTGTTTACTCATAATAGTCCAAATAGTCTTTAATACCCTGGTTGAGATCACAGCACATCACTCTACCCCCAGATCACTTGCAGTTGAGGTTTCTCATTCATTTTTAGGCCATACACTGTAGAAACGTAAAATTGATAAGGGCTAGGAATGCCAATAACTATGCAGCTGCCTGCATTTTGCTTTATGCTTCATATTCAGAATGGGACCATTTGTTAATAAGGATGTCTCTTTAACTGAAATACGTCAGGATACTTATTGGGTGAACTTTAATTACCCACCTTAACTACAATGGCTGCATATGTTGCATCTGCTCTCCACTCTTCACCCAAGCTCCAACCAACTAATGGATCTCCTTCATCATTGTATATTGGTGAAGTCTTGTATTTGGGAACAAGGTGAGCTATTTCCTCTAGAACCACTGTTTCGTTATTTAAAATGGTCAGAGAGTGTTCATTGCCTTTGATGTGGAAAGAAATAAAATCAAGTCTAACCCCTCTCTCACCAGTGAAGAAATTAGTACCATTGTTGCAGTGCTCTAGCAGAGACTGTAATAACAAACAAAACAACAGCATGATCATTTCTACTCAATAAAGTAAGACCCCCTTTGAATCTTAAAAACTAAGACCTAAGATCCCCTGCAAATCTCAAAATCTAAAGTCTTAAGTTTATAATTGAAGGATTTTGTGCAAAAAGGGCGTATATCACCCAAAAAGTGATATACAGTGGTATACATGACTTGTATGCCCTTTTTGCATGAAATCTTCCAGTTATAAAGACCTGAGTTTACTTTTACTTTGAAGATGTTGATTGGTCAAACAAGAACCAGATCTTCAAAAGAAAACAATTTTGGGGTGCAAAAATTACACATCATGTGTCATGTTGATTTAAAATTTCAAATTAAAGCAAACTGAGGTCTTGGTTTTTGAGATTCAGAGGGGTTTTAGGTCTTAGTTAGTTCTTAGATCTTACAAAAGGTCATTCATGAAGAGTTGAGAAAACCAACTGATGAAAAACTACAAAACATAATAAAAGTCTGAAGTGCCAGAGGTTCAGTNAGTTAATGAGATAACAGGGTTCAACTGTATGTCTAAAACTTAGCAAATTAAAACTTGGCATGTTATGAAATAATTTTAGCAACAAGAAAAGGGACATGGCTGGTGCTTCCACATACCCAAAATATTGGATGACTGTCTGGGTATCCTGTGGCAGGTCCTCCAAGTTGTAAAGATGGATGAGCCATCTTGAGTCCTTCAGAACAAGCATCATAATACATGAGGTATCCTTTGATGGAAACATGGAGGCCATCAAAATGGTGTTTATTCTGTGGTTCATTCCAAGATTCAAAGTTCCACTGGGATACTTCCTCTAGCCCAAATACCTCTGTCATTAGGACAAAAAAAAAAACTTAATTTGAACCTTTCCATAATGACTACCTTTGGGGCAGAAGGAAGAGGGAGTTGTAGGGCAAGTAAAGAAACCCAATATTGCAATTTTGGTCTTTCATGTGTAATGCGTATGTGGCACGATGCATCTCTACCAACTCTCCTGGATGCAGACTGAATCACCCAGTCTCCCAAAAGGGTCACCTTTGAGACACCTCGAAAATGCAAAGAAGTGGCCCGTAATTTTCTTAACAAGAGTGCACTGCTACGCTACTCACTATCTACAACAGAATTTAGATAGTGAGTAGCGTAGACAATCAGACGACGACATGTACTGTGTGATAGAATGCTGGTAGATATATACTAAAACCTGATACGAACACGGTACAGGTTATTAGCTGATCCGTTAATACATAGTTAATGGTTAGTATAACAGATAAAAGGGTCTAATACCCTGTCTTAAATTTCTAAATCTTAACCTATGATATGTTTTCCCAAACTTGCTATAAGATCCCTCCATGCATAGATTTGTGCAGTATCATCAAAATCTGAAAAGAAATTTGATGGATTTCCCATCAGTTCAAATCCAGGCTTCAAATCATTCCCTACAAGCAAGCTTATTGCTTTATCCAGGTATGTAAAGTTGTAAACAAGTCGGTCAACGTCCAGCACCATGGAAACCAGATCCAATAACCAGTGAATTCGCACTTGCTTTATACCCTTATTGGGCACGGAACCTATGTAAGCTAAGTTCTGTAGCTCATCGTTGGTGAAGATGAATTTCCTGAAGTCTTGATGAGGGTCTGGCGGACAGAATCCGGTGCTTTCCCAGAAGTGTCGCAAAGGACCAACAACTCGACTGGCGTCCAAGACCACATTGACAATATCAGTTTGCTCTCCACTTATGAGCAAAATTAACACTGCATTAACCAATACTTTTATCCACATCACCGTAATTCTTACAAGTTTCACTCCTCGGGTTAAGTCAAGTAACCTCAGATATCCCAGGACGGGCCCCCAGGATGGGGTTCCCAGGACATCTCCCGGGACAGGACGGGGTCGACCCAGTTTCCCCATTCTCACTCTATCTCGACTCTACCTCAGTGTAAATCATCTGATCACTGAAGTTCGAGCTTTTGTTGTACTTTTATAACTGCTAAAGAGTTTGAGTCTTTTTAGGTCAATGCGTTATTGCTCTGGAAAGCTTCATTGGAACTTACGGGACGAAAAGGTGAGAAAACCAAACTGAAAGTAGGCCAGACAGAGGCTTCTGTTTGTACTGAGCTTGAAAGATATCTAATGTGGAGCGATTTGTGTGTTTCTGCTTTCGTGTACGTACCCTTAAAACAGCAGTTGTTTTACAGTTTAATCAGTTGAATTCTGTTCTGTTAGTAAGCGAAAGCTTAATATTTGCATGAGGTGGAATACAAACGTTAGCTGAGGACTCCGTAAAAGCGAAGCCTTAATTTAGCTCGAGAATTTTAATAATATTTCCATAAGTTTTCGTACTTTGCCTTCGTGTAGGAATTTTAGTGACAAATTTGAAAATTGAGGTGCATATTATTCTTCCGAGTGCCTGGGAATTAGAAACAATCTCGCAGAATTTTGTTACTAATTGTGCCGTTATTTAGCAATTCTCTATTTTCCAATTGCCCGTAATTCACTCTGTTTGCCCCCCAAATTTTGCATAAACTATTGTTGTGAAATGCTCTTGGGAATATGCAGACCTCTCAAGAGTATTTCACAACAATAGTTTATGCAAAATTTGGGGGGCAAACAGAGTGAATTGTGGGCAACTGGAAAATAGAGAATGTCAGGAGAAGTAGCAAAATAAACACGAAAGGAAAGAAATGCTTGGTCACTGAGCATGTGCGGTATATAAATGTCACGAAGTGTCCAACCTGGTTAGGGCTTAGAGCTGACTAAAATAACAATAATCTCACCATCTGAAAGAGAGCTAATCATCAGCTGAAATTCAACTTGAAAACAAAGATGGAGTAATTTGGAAGGTGTAGTGCTGCAATTTTGGGCAAGCGGTTTCCAGTTTTGGGCAAGTTTTTATAATTTTGTGATCCACCCAAAAAGCCATTGACTTTGCCCTATCCAAAAGTATCCCATCATATGAGTGAGATATTCTTCGCAGATTTTTCTAAGGGCTTTGATTTGATTGATCACTCAATATTGATGCAGGAACTCGCTGATCTTGAAGTTCATCCAGTTCTTTTATCTTGGATAACAGCATTCTTGACATACCGGAAGCAAGCAGTTAGAATCGGAAGTACTTTGTCTGATTGACTGACACTAAAAGGAGGAGTGCCCCAAGGAACTAAATTGGGTGTAGTCCTCTTTACGGTGATGACAAACAGACTGCTCTCTGACTGGCGGCTGCGCATCAAATACGTCGATGATACCAGTGCTCTCGAAATAATTCCAAGGAACTCCCCTAGTTTACTTAATGTTGTGGCCTCAGACATTCACAA